TTGAGTAAATGCATAGGAAAATCCTACTGCTACAAAGTTTTACATCTTAAAACTGATAAATCGGAATTGGAATTTAATACAAATTTGAAATACTTATTCGTATCGATTTTGAATTCCAGTTATGATTACAATAAAATGAAGAAAACATATGGGAAGAATAATAGAAAAATGAAAAATGAATTGACATCTCTGATAACATTTTTTTGCCTTAACTTCTAATTCGTTACTGAAATAATTTTTGGTGATATTTCATTTTTTTTAATTCCATTCTTTTACTGCTACTATCTCATATGTGAACTGTTACAATAAGTATTTGTGATTGCTAAAAATATATCTTCAGTAGTTAGTAAGCTAACCATAAAAATAATTACTGCAATGTCCTCTGACCTTTTCAAATTGCTAAAATTATTCGTATTATATTTTCTGAGAAATAAACTTTTGTGCATTAAAATTATTATTTTTTCTCAAAACAAACCCTTCACTATTATATAAATTCTGCTAAATAGTAACTGATATTATATTTTTTCTGAGAGTATTTTTAATAAAAGATTAATTTCAAAAATATTTAAACATTATAATTATTGCATGAAAAGATAGATGTGGTGCGCAAAATATGATAATAATCATAATTGATAGCGCTAGCTTACTGAGATATAAATCTCAAAAATATAGAAATATCAAGCATAAAGCTTTCAAATATACTTGTCCAGTACGAAACAGAATAAAAATTTATTCATTAATTCATTAACTTCTTTAAATCAAAGTTCGTGAGGATAAATATACTTTGACTTACAAATTAATTATTAAATTTTCTTAAACAAATAACTTTTTATATTTATGTAACAGCTGAAGACACTTTTTTAATTAAATGTACGATTTATATAATTTATTTTTGCTTTTCTGAAAAATACGTTTTAAAATATTGCAAAGATTCGTTATTTGATAATAATTATCGACTTTTGCGCAGTTTTTTTTAATTAATAAATGAAAGCTTTACATACTCTACGCTGACACTGTAATGGCCTATTTTTACTGTACTCATTGTTTTTTTTTTCGTAAATTAACGTTTATTTGACTTGATTTTTAGTCGTATCAGTACAACATGACAATAAAATGAAATAACAGTTCATGACAGTCAACAATATTTTTTGTTATCAACTGCTTCTGTAAATGTACTAACAAAACTTCAATTGCCTTTTATCCTTAAAATTATTAAGTAATTAGTTTTAAAAGAGTAGTGTTTCAGATGACTATAGTACGTACTTACACGTACGTTACAAATGCTTACAAATATAAAATAATTTTTGAATATTATTGACACTGAAAACTATAGTGAAGTTTATTTTTAACAAATTCATATTTTGTAGAACAATTAAACTAACAATCTTCGTTTATGAGTAAAATTTTTCTCGTTAAAGTCCTCCTTTACGTGTCGTATCTCACGTAAACATAAATTTATCATGAATGTGTTAATTGTTGAACTCTTTAAATGTTTTGCTAAGTTAAAAATAAATAAATGAATGACGTGAAAGTAGTTACTGGTGATTTCTCGTTTCAATAATGCTATCTGTTATCTGTTCGTTAATATTATCGCACTAATTATTTCGTTGGAATAATATTGAAAGATACAATAAAAACATAAGAATAAATAAGCTATAATAAATAATTTTATATTTTATATTGAGTAAAATTAACGTAAACTACTGAACAATCTTTTAATGGAGCAATTACTTTCGAGTTAAATTACTTTAATAATTAATTTCTTATTACAATTATGGAATTTTGTGTTTATAGATTAACAGTTCTTGTTGTCATTATCATAATTATTATCTTCTTTTTCGTTTTCTGTAATTATTATTACAGTTATTAATAGTGTTCATAATTGTCGTCACTATTAATAATATTCATAATGTTTTTGTTATAACTGTTACCACTATTAATATGACTATAGTCTTCATATCATTCTCATGTTTATTTTATAGCAGATTAATTGACTTTAAAATGCGCTTAATCTATGACTGTGATTATTGTGATAAAAAGTTGTACTATCAATATAAAATAAAATATGTTACTGATATGAGTAAAAATAAGATCAAGCTAGACGTACAGGTAAATAATTTTAAGTGCTTTAATAATTAATTAATTTGATTTAATTAATAAAATGGTAACTTATTTTGAATAAAATTATTTGTTGGATATATCGAAATTGAGATTCATATTATTAATATGATATTGCCTGTATTAATGTTATAGTTGATTAGAATAAAGAAAAGTATGGAAAACATAAAATGTTAAAACACAAAATAACCGTAATGTCAAAGGTTACTTAACAATAATTTATTGAAGAAAAACTTTATTCAGTGCAAATAATAAAAAAGTATGATACAAAGCAGAAAATTCGTTGGGAAAAAAACATTGGCACTATTAAAAAGCTAATTAACAATAGTCAAAAACAATTACTTTAGATTATTTAATACTTTTGTAAAAATTAAATTTTGACTGATTGTTTTATTATTTCAATTGTATAAAATTAGTATTTGACGTGCATTAAATAACTGCAAATTAGGTTAAATTGGCTAATGATTAAAGAACTTTGTGTGTTTTAGTACTTAATTAATTTGATTTAATTAATAAAATGGCGGCTTATTTTGAATAAAA